ATCCCTAACAGGCTAACAGGACCAGTGGTCAGGGATGATAGGAATTGCAGTCCCAAAACATCTGGAGGGCCGAGTTTGCCTATGCCTGACCTTGACTATTACCCAGGAAGGACATGAGATCCCTAATCAAAGCACTGTAGGGTGTTACAGGTCTTGCATCTGGCCTTTGAGATTGCCATCAGTTAAACATCTTAAAGGAATCCAAGATATACAAAGATACAGAAATCTTAACCAGTCCTGAAGAACAAAAAAATCCAGTATCTAAGATCTTTGCATTACAGTTTTCTTTCAGTTCTCAAATGCAAGACCTCCTAGAGATTCACAAGGATATGTGCTCCTTTCCCTTACTTTGCCACGAGATATCACCATAATTGTGATATCGATCTTACAAAACTAACACTCCTGGATTTAAGCCAGGGGTGGCTAACCTTTTCTGGCCAAGGGCTGCATTGACCCATGCCCAACGCTGTGAGAAGCATAGTAAAGTGGGCTAAGGCCAAAGAAGGAAATTAATCCCTTTTATTATCTTTCCATCTAAAGTCAACCCATTTCTTTCCTTCCCCAATTCATTCTATTTGTATTTTCTTTTATATACTTTTAGCTGATTGTTTTCCCTCAAAGTCCCACTTCCCCCACTCAAAATTCCCACAAATTCATTTTATTTATTCACTGTGATGCTGATGCCATTGGTTTTCTTTGTTCTGTTGAAGCGGGAAGAGGAGAGAAATTGCCAAAAACGTTTCAAATAAGAAGCCATCAAACCTCTTAGCTGATGGGTTGGGCCACTCCTGATCTAAGCAATGTAACCATCAGCACCACCGAAGCTGATTCTTCAGCCCCAACCCCCAACATGAAGTTAGTCTAGTGAAAATCGGTTGAACAAAGCCAGTGCCTCTGCTGGGAGAGAGGCTCTTCCTGGGAACATCTCTGGCCCCTAGAATATAGTGGTACCTTGGGTTAAGTACTTAATTAATTTCAGAGGTCCGTTCTTAACTTGAAACTGTTCTTAACCTGAAGCACCACTTAAGCTAATGGGGCCTCCCGCTGCTGCCGTGCCGCCGGAGCACGATTTCTGTTCTCATCCTGAAGCAAAGTTCTTAACCCGAGGTACTATTTCTGGGTTAGCGGAGTCTGTAACCTGAAGCGTATGTAACCTGAGGTACCACTGTAGTTTTGTTTATATGTGGCAATGCAGAATTCAAGTGACAACCTTTTTCTAATCTACCAAACTTGTTTACAAGATGCTTAGAATTTAGATTATGTAAGTTAGCAGCAGCTACACTGCATTAGTTTGGTTTTGTGAATCACCCTGGGAATTATTTGGCTGGCAGGAAGTATGAAATTATTTATTTATTTTTTAAGTATTGCAGTTTACCATTGTGTGCACTAGAACAGTGTTCCCCAACCTTGGGCCTCCAGCTGTTTTTGGACTACAACTCCCATCATCCCTCGCTAGCAAGACCAGTGGTCAAGGATGATGGGAATTGTAGTCCAAAAACAGCTGGAGGCCCAAGGTTGGGGAACACTGCACTAGAATGTTTTCTTCTCAGAACACTCCCCCCCCCAACTGCTTTTGAATCTCGGAGGAGGTAAATTTATGTCAGGGGTTGGGAACTTCAGGCCTGGGAGCTTCTCTGTCTGGGTCTCAGGACTCCCCTCAGGCTCCTCTTCCTCCTCAGGCTCCTCCTCTTCCTCCTCAGCAACATACCCTCTCTCCCCAGGCCACACCCCTCAGCAGCCCAACTTTGCACCATCTGCAGCCTAGAATGGAGAAGCAACAGGGAAAGGAGTAGTTGTGTATTATTCCTTTCCACAAGTGCCATTTCTTTACTCCATATTGACAGTGGTTCTATCCAGAAGTGTTCCAAATGCATGTTTACCCTGGCATTAGTAATGTCTAGTAACTTCATGGGAGTAAGCAATAGCAGTTTGCCTCCATTTGTCAAACCGTAGAAGAAATATATTTCTATGATTCTACTTTATAAAGAAAACAAATTAAGACATTAAGACTACGAGTCCTCGTCATATAAATTATAAATTAGGGCTTCCACCCAATTAAAAATACCTTAGTTGACTGATTGAATCTATTAACTAAAATTCATGCCATTTCCAGAAATTGCATCTGAACAGAATAAAAGAGTCCTGACGCAAGAAGCGTATTTCTTTTTTTCTTATAAAATGTTTAGTTTATTTATAGCAGGTAACTTCTTAGAAGAGGCATTCCTTCTCATGTGAACAAAAAGAGAAAAGGCCTCTTTTAAATGGGTGTTTAAAAGAGTCTTAACACCACCTGCAGGTTTTTTTAAAAAAACTAACAATATTTTTAAATTAGCTTTTAAAAATTAGCTGTCATAAGTAATTAGAAGTACAAATTAAACTTTAAATAATCAATTAATCCCATAATAATTTTTGCAGACCTTTTTTTGAAATCACAGAAATACATCTTCCACAAAGTCAGGGGCAAGAACACTATTTCCCATAAGCTACTATTAAACAGTCATAGAATTCTACGGTTCTATGAATTAGCAGACTATCTACATTGCCGATACTATTCACTAGCTGCCGAAACTAACTGTAGAAAGACTATTAATTATGCTCCTCTATGTAAAACAATCCAATCACTCAAGAGAAAATAAAAATATTCATTAATAGACAACTGCCCATATTATCACCCAACAGGGTTTGAGTGTTTGATCAAGCCTTAATGGACATAAAACATCAGGTTTAAAATTAGCAATCACCAATTGATCAAGTGTTATATCAGAGAAGCCAGTAATCAGGTGGCTCAGCCAATTACTTCCAATCCAGGAGGTAGGGGACAATAAGATTTGATTGTCTGATTTCTAAAAGCCACAAGCTACACAAAAACTGATATTATCTGTGGATGATTCCAAAGTGATTGGAACGATTGAAATAATTTTAATATAATATGATGAAAAGAAGCACCACACGTTTCATAGCTGATCAGGACACGGGCTTCACTGGTGAGCAGGGACAGTTACAAGGGCTTCCTCGGGAGGTCTTGAAATGTCTACATTCTGTGTAATAATAAAAATACAGAGGAAAATGTTTATCATGCAACATGGCCGGTCAGCTTTCTTCACAAGTAAACAGCCGAGCTTGTTAAATTAACAAATATAGTCACTTATCTAGAGCAATAAAGCTTTTTTTAAAACAGAGACAGCGGAATTGCCTTCTTTATAGACTGCATTTAATAATTCTGTGGACCACAGGCTAAGTGCTGGCAACTCTCCTCAAAACACACACACAGAAACTGCTTATGTTTAGAGTATCTCAACTATATAACTATATTTAAAAGCTTGTGATTCATTACATTATGCATAGCACATTCATACTGCAAAAAGCAAGTCTTATCAGCCAGATACCATTAAATAAAAGTGAACAATTGGGAGGGGGTTGGGTGCCAGGAGAAGGGCCATAGTTCAGTGGTAGAGCATCTCTTGACATCTGCAAGCAGAGCTGGAGAAAAAGCTCCTATCTGAAAACATGGAGTCACTCACTGAATACAGACAATACTGAGCTAGATGGACCAATGGCCGAGTCAGTATAACACAGCTTCCTACATTCCTATGTGCCCTGGTGCATAGGTTCTACTGGAATCATTTTAGTCATATTGTGACATTAGCCCCTGTATATTACTGTATTTTTCCGTGTATAAGACTAGGTTTTTTCCCTTTTAAATAATGTCAAAAATTAGGGGGCATCTTATATAGATACATCTCCCCCCATTTTCTTAAATCTGAGTCCCCCAAAATAGGGGGCGTCTTATAGACGGAAAATACAGAGTTCCTACTGTCTAGGATAGCATACATTTCCATGTCTTTCAGTCATGAAGCTATAACTACAGCCCTGAAATTATATGGAGAACTTACCAATAACTTAGTATCTGGCACAAAATTAGATCAAATCCTGCAACCATTAAGAGACTGCTCTCTTCTTTAAATTACTCAGAATAAGTACATGAGGTTTTTTTTATTAAAAAAAACTCAGCCAGATGGGCGGGGTATAATTATAAATTATTATAATGCTTCTGCTCATTGTGAGGAAGAACAATATTGGACAAATTCACAGAGGAGAGGACTATTGATGGTGGCTAGCCATGGTGGCTATTCTCTGCCTCCACAACTGGAAGCAGCAAAGCTTCTGAATGACAGTTGTTGGAAAGCACGGGAGGGGAGAGTGATCGAATCCTGCTTGCTGGTCTCCCGCAGGCATTTGGTCAGCCACTGTGGGAACTGGATACTAGACGAGATGAGCCATTATCCTGATCCAGAAAGCTCTTCTGATGTTCTTAGAAGAAGCTCTAATGGGCCTTAGAGCCTTGCCTCCTCTTCCGCCCCCTCAGCCCTGGAAACCATTTCCTTTCATTGACCCCTTTCAGACTTCTGAAATGTCACAAGTTGTGCCTTCATGTTCTGAAGTTTATCAGCACAGCAGGAACAGCTGAAGACAGAACACTATCCGTTGCCTTCTCAGAACCTTTAAGGCAGGGGTTGTCAATGCACTGCCCTCCAGAGGCTGTTGGACTCCAAATCCCATCAGCCCCAGCCAATGGTCAGGGATAATGCAACTTGTAGTCCAACAACATGTCAATCTCCCTTGCTTTAGGCTTATGCTAGCAGTGCCTGAACCCACCCTGGGAACTTGGGAACTCTTCAATTGTGGATAAAGGAGGAGGAGGAAAAGTTTCCCTTTGGGATAACACTACCTGTGCTCGCCATAACAGTCCTGATTAATGCAAAACAGAAAAACAACAAACATGGCTGAGAAGCAGAAAGTGGAGCGGGAGAAATGAGGACCAGGCCACCACCTGGATGAGGGCACACTCTCTCTCTTATTCACTCACTAGCCCAAATGAGTATCTAATCACAGGAACTGTCTGCTGCGGCTAATGAATATCATCACTACTTTTCACGTCTCTCTCCTTTCTCTCCACTAATAACCAGGAAGGCTAAGAGGGAAAAAATAAGCAGCACATTTTTATTTATTTATTCATTTCCTTTAGAGCACTTCCTTACCACTGAATATATAAAAAGATCTTTAAGCAGTCTACAGAAAGGGGGGACCCTCATATGAAACAGTTAACAGAAATTACTAATAAATATTTACAGACAGCATATTCACCATCTACAACACCTCTCAGCCTCCTGGCTCTCATCCATGGCCCAAACAAACTTTCAGACTAACCCCAAAATAACTCACAACAAAGAGGGTTCCTGGAACGTGCTGGCATTACCATAGTTCCTTACTCTCGGGCTTGCTTTTATGTGCAATCAATCCTATACCTGTTTAGTAAGAAACAGGTGAAACTGTGTTCTATGGGATTTACTCCCAACTATGTGAGTAGGGAACTGCACCCCTGTGTGTGTACACCGGTTGGCTAGTAATATTGGAAGACATGTATATGGCCGGCTTGTATTCTTATTGTGACAAAACATCGTTAAACCTGCTACCCAAAACTGTACAGCTTACAATACCTACTTACTTTCAGTATCCAAACATTGTAAAACAGGAATTTGGCAGCCAAGGCTGGCTAAAATTGTGAGCAGCCTTGGAAAAATGTCTTAGTGGCCACTTTGATTCATTTGATATCCAGTATCATTTTGCCATAATCAAGAATATGATGGCAAGAACATGGTAAAAAATCTCCCATGAAACATCACTAAAAATAGAGTTACTGCTCAGTCCTAAAGGACAATCTTATCACTGTCAAGAGGATACCTACAGTAACCAAAAGATGTTCATTTATGATAAGCCAGAGACCCTGCTACCCAAACCTATGAGACACTGAGCAGCTGACAGAAACCAATCCTAAACCTCAAAAATATATTCTAATGTTTTCATCCAGGTTCTGTTCTTCCTGCAGTTTCACACAATTATGCACCATGAAGCCAGATCAGAACTGAATGCTGGTATTGTGCCGCTGCATCAACCAACCCAAACAAAGAAACAAGAAACACATGGTTGCCTTTCAAGGACTTGCACATTTGACAGAATGAGTGTTTCTTAAACGCTTCAGCATGTGCAGAAAAGCTTCTCTCTCACCTTTTTATTCACACACAGTTTAAATAGAAGCCGTTAACAGCTGCCTACCAACCAAGTGGCCATGGATGAGTCATTTGCGAAACACTCCTTGATCAAAAGAGTAAGGCAACACTGTTAAAGCTGCTAAAACACACAGCATTCAGATCCAACAGAGCGACTTAACGCAATGAAAATACTGTATTGAGTTAAGCAAACAATTGGGTGGCAGCACAACTGCAGCACAATGCCTAACTGTGGCAGTTTTTAGGGCTTTCATTGAACAGCTTGCTGTCTGCTCTGCATCACTGCTCACCATAACATCACCTGAATACAAGGCTACAGACTGTCACAATTGAGGCACTGTTATTTCCCCGAAGTGGAGTCGTATAATTAGCTGCCAAATTCACTCAGATGACATACGCTGTATTATGAAAGCACCGTGCAGTTAAAGAGTGTCATAATGTTGTCATGAAGGAGAGAAGATTCCATGAAACGCAAGTGAAGCAGGCATGAAGATGATGAGTTGTCAGAGAATAAAACAATTTCCTTTGTTTTGCAGAGCATTTACCTGAAGCTCCAAAATCCACTACAAGCTCCATTTTAAAAAATGCTCAAATTAAATGCGCCACTGCACATGACCTCTTGTTCTATTTCTCCTCAAGTGATGCCAGTAAGTCAGAGACCATGTGCAGAAGGTGATGACATCACAAAAAATAGGTAGATAATGAAGATCTGGTCATTTTCTAGCATCACAAAGGAGCAAACATAGCACATTTTCCTCTATTTTTAATGGTATATAATTAGGCATTTGTGTGCTAATTCGCTAGTAGAAATAATGACATGTTTGGGAGCTTACAATCCTATCATCACCCCAGGCCATTCAAACCAATGACACTATACTAGCTCACTTTGGTTACTGTTTCTCAAGGGACTTATTAAAAAACTTCCAGAATAATTACCATTGGTTCAGTCTACATAAATATATCTTGCAATGCATTATACATAGTCCTTGATTTTTATTCTAATGTTCACCAAACCCACACATGTAAGAGCAACAAGATATAAGACGCCCGACTTCGTATTTGAGCAGGCCATTTATCCTGCGCAGGTTATACTTTTGTTTGACCTCATAACTTGGGCTATAAATATGCACCATTTTGTCATACTTGAATCCAATAACATCAAGAGGCATGACCAGCACATTATTGTTATCCTGACTCAGGAGCGGCAAGGGTTTCACCAGCGATATATCACCAAGATGAAGGCACCATCGCTCTCTGGCCCTCAAAACAGTCCTGGCCAATGTATTGATTCATCACCCAGGCCTAGTGCATACATGAGAGACGGGGGTGGGGGTGGGATACATGGCTCTCTTGATTGGCAAATCACGTAGACACCTCCCCACGCAGCTAGTAGCCTCTTATTAAGTACAGTCATCCCAACTTTCAGCATGCCAGAGAATTCAGTGGGAGGCTTCCTTCTAAAATGAAGAGCAAAGCGTAAAGTCAAAATCAAACAAAACCAAAGTACGAAGAAAATTGGTCCGAGCTCTGCTTCACACCCACACAGGCAGCTAGCCATGGAGAAGCACCCACACAATTTGGGTATCTGGCATTAACGAGGCTGCTTCAATAATGTGTGAAAATAGGATGGCCTAAATAAGGCATAATGTAAGAAAAAGGGTAGGGAAAAGAAGAAGGGGCTGCAACAAAGGTTGTGGTAACATGCCTGCAGGGCATTAAATATGAGAGAATAGCAGCATACTTTGTCACTAATATAATATAATATAATATAATATACACACACACTTACACACTTGTTTGTGTACAAACCTCTACTCCAAAGGTGAAGCTAGATATCAAAGCACAGGTACCTACAATATCCTTTAGGAATGGAAAACTGGGGCAGGAGAGGGTGCTTAACTCTTTCCCTGCTTTTCTTTCTTTTTTTCTTTTTCCCAGTTATTTAAACTTTAAACCAGTCTCCATCACCACCACCATTCCTCCTGCAGAGTTCCAAATTCACATTTGTGACAGCAGAAGACACCTACCTGTGGTTTGTCTCTGTGCGTATTTACAGCTTCAACATTCAGAAATATAGATTCCACCTTGCAACCTGTAAACAGAAGAAAACTTTTAGATGTTTGTCTTCCTCGTTTTGGGAGCCGCCATCACTGTAAAATCAGTTCTTGTTTCCATCTCCACATTGGGAATGATAATACTTTAAAAGTCAGTAATGACTAACTTAAGCCCACTGAAACTAATGGATCTACTCAAGAGTATGACTTAAGATACAAAAGCATCAAGATACAAAATGAATTTGCAATTCACAATTTATTTTGGACACTAGATGTCACTACAGACTTCTGTTTCCTTAAAAGAACAACCACATATTAAAAGAATGATCCACTCCGGCTACAAAGAACAAGAACACAGTGAATGGTAACCAATGTACTTTAGTTGAACCAGCTAGAATTTCAAAATTCAGGATTCAAACTCTCTCAGGCTTGAGATCAGAAAACGAAAAGTAAGCCAAAGCTTATGCCGCTTCAGAAATTTTATATTGGGGAAAAGGAAACGGAAGATAATACTTAAGATTAAATCAGTTCACAGGGGAAGCATTTCACACACAACAGTGACGTCAACTTACAAATACATCATCAGCATGAGTTCTAATTTTTATCCTTCACACACCAATATTAAACTCAATGCCCTAGTGTATACCCTTTAGTCAAAATGGCATCATCTACACACAAGGAGGTGGTAGCAGCAGGGTTCGTACAGGTACAGAGAAAAACCACACAAAACAATGGGGAAATTTCCCCCAAACAGCCCAATGAGGACAGGACCTAGAATGCTGACTTGTCTGCTAGGCAGGGGAAGACTGAAATTTGGGAGGGAGGGACATGGAATTGTGTTTCCCCAAAGAGAGCTCTGGTTCATGGGGTCACGAAGAGTCGGACACGACTAAACGACTAAACAACAAACAACAAAGAGAGCATGGCTTGCTGGCATCCTTAACACCACCACACTACATTTTATTGCCAATCTGTTTCATGTAAATTCCTAGCCTGCCCCAATCTGAAGACTCAGGAAGAACAGAGACAAAAAGAATAAATTTTAACTAAGCAATCAAATCCCAATGATGACCTGCACATTTACAATTTGCAATGTGCAACCCTATGCACACTAATGTGAGAGTAAATCTCTCTGAATTCAATGGGGCTTACATCTGAGTAGGCATGCGTAGGATGGTGCTATGAAACACTGTCATGGACTTTCTGGTAACTTTATTTAAAAAGTGAACAATTCCTTTTGATATACAAATAACTTTAAACTATTGGATATCTGCCATCGACAAATGTGGTGTTTTCCATAATAATTACAGTCATACCTCAGGTTACAGACGCTTCAGGTTGCATTTTTTTCGGGTTATGGACGCGCCGAAACCCAGAAGTACCAGAACGGGTTACTTCCGGGTTTTGGCGGTCGTGCATGCACAGAAGCGCAACCCACGTCTGTGCAGACGCGCCGCTGCGGGTTGTGAATACTGCGGGTTGCGAACGTGCCTCCTGCACGGATCACGTTCGCAACCACTGTACAGTTAATAGCTGAAATACAAATAGATTGATAGAATACATTTTGAACAGCTTACCATAAGCCACTGGGGTTAGCTTTAAGACAGTATGCAGTGGGCACTTGAGATAAGGCAGTTGTTCTAAAACAGATAGAGAGAAAATAAACTTAATAGAGAGTAACAGAAATGCCCCTTCTTCCAAACCACTAACCATGTTAGTGCAGCAATGGAACTGGTCCCCAACATGACATTTTACTTTGTGTCTACCGGGGCTCCAAGCCACTCACAAATTATTATTTTTTTTGGGGGGGGGTAATGCAGCTTTTCTTGAAAGTCAGTCTCTCTCTCTCTCTCTCTCTCTCAAACCACATTTAGCAGTGGTTGTGCTGCAAAGGAAGAGATGTGTAGGTCTCCAGCTGCTCTGCCTGCTTCCTTTTTGTTTCCCAGAAAGCCTCTGGGCCCCACATATGCATTTTTCATTGGAAGAGAAAGAAAAGAGTGGGGGGGGGCTCTCAGAGGATGGTGCCTGACCTTCCTGTGCCCCGTCCCCAAAACACAACAGAAAAGAAAAGAAATAAAGGGCTTCTGCCACCGCTTGCGTTTTGTTTAATTGTCTCTCAGTGTGTATATCTTGCTGCTGCTTGCCTGCTTATGGCGGGGGGGGCATTGCTTGTTTTCTGGAAGATATTTCCTGCTTGTTTTGTCCAAGGGGCAATTTGTGTTATTTGCCCTTTTGATCATCAGGTTGTTTTCTTCTCCTTCTGTGAAACTGAAGAATTTTGTGGTGCCTGTGATAGCTTCTTAAATTTCCAAATTTTCTCCTGAGCCCAAAAAGTTGGGGATCCCTTATTTATTCATTCAATATAGTTTTATCCTATCTCAAAGAAAACTGCAGAGACTTCCATCATAAAAACAAACAGGCATGATACAGCCATGCTGTCTCTTTGCAACAAATCCTTTGAGAACTCAGATATCCAAAATTCTAGAAGTTAACATAATAAAAAGTACCCAGAATTTAAACTCCTGAATAAAATTTCCTAACGACAGGCTTCAGGAACACAGATTTAAGGAGGGTATTCCACAGGTGGAGCACCATTATGGGAGAGGGATGGGGTGGAACAGATCTCCCCTGCCCTGACTACAGAAGGCTGAAAAACCCAGAGAGTATCTTCCCTAGATGATCTTAGAGAATAGGAGGTTCACAAAAGCAACCCTGATACCCTAGAAAAGCAAGTGTTGATTAAAGAAGCATTTGACCCATGCACAGGTGAAAATGTAAGTCTGACACGAGTCATGAAGAGCAGCATTTTTCCTGCTCATTTAGGATGCACATGAAATAATGGTTGGATGAAATTGTTACTGATTGACCAAGGTGAAAATTCTCCATGTTAAGGCAAATATAATTACCTGCAGGCTTGTCCAGAAAGTAAGCAAGTAGACAGCGCATAACAGCTTGGTGACAGATTACAAGCACATTTTCCTGCCTTTCCAACTCCATAATCACTGGCTCCAACCTTTGAACAAGATCTTCGTATGACTGGGGGAGAAATCAACAATATAATCAACCTCTTGACTGTATACACAGAGCAAACAAAGAGCTGTCCATTATAGGCAAAACATAATAAGATGTTCTGCAGATAAGTGTGCACACACACGTACAAGACAAAACACTAAATTTAAACCAATTTATCTTGAAAGAATGCACCATCACAGAAATCAGTACCAAAGTGAGTGTGGTTAAGCTGTATCATATACTTAATCATTCCTATTTTATTTCATTTCATTTAAAAAGCTCCATTTTTAAATAAATTTGTAGCTTTGCTGTCTCCCTTCTCTGATTTCCATCATGATTGTAAGCTTAATTGAGTAAGCCATACTGAATGCTCTCAAGCACTAGAGTCTTCTACATAAGGGAAGGTTTTATCATTATCCATTTTGTGACCGACAAGTCCTGCTGCTGTTAAAGATCTCCATAATAGTTTGCCTTTTATAAACCTAATAAGATAGCCCGTAGGTCCACTGCAAATCAAAAACTGTAATTTTGTTATTTCCCTTATGATGAAAACCCAATTATCACTTGATCTGGGGGTATGACCAAAAATATGATACATATTCACCGTATTAGAGTTAAACCTCTATTTAAACCTCTACCTCTGTTTGCACATATATTTGTGGTATCAAATAGTACCTGAACATCAGTCTATAGAAATTCTCTTTTATTGTTGTGTACAAGGCAAATTGCTGAAAGGATTATCTTTATTAAACCTTTTCCCCATTTTGATTAATACAAATTACCTGATTTATACAAATTACCCGAGGTATCTAAATTTGCTGTCAGTTTGTAAATTGGACTCAGAACATGTTTAGTTGTTAGATATCAAGATTTGATCTAACGATTCATTTTGTAATGATATGTTTACTTTGTAAATATTAATAAAAACTAGCACTTCTTGGGGACTAACCACCCTGAAACTCTTAGTCGGTAATACACCTTTGCTACTTCTATGAATGCATGAACAAATTACAGCTAAGAACAGCAAAGATTAGCCATTAAGCATGGGTGCACGGCCGCTAATGCAAACAAAAAACCCATTTCTTTTTTCTGAAAGGTTAGCAAACAACTCTAGAAAGCTTTCTCTATTATGACACGGCTGCTTAAATGTGCTACAAATAATGGCCACCTGGGATCCAGGACTGTTCTGGTAATCACACAGCCAACTCATGGGAAGTGGAACACTCAGCTAACAATAAGGCATGTTGCTCGTATTACAAATATTGAAACAGCTGTTCCAAGCACAGCTTAACGCTTGACCTCTAATGCAAGTATGTAGAAGACTGGACCACCTGATGCAGAATTAACTCTGCTTCAACCATATTGGTTTATTTTAGCACCCCTCATAAATTATTTCTCCATACATTCAAGGAATACATGAAAGGTATTCAGCTCAATATTTTCATCCCCACTGCCTACAACTTTGAATGGTTAAAAAGGTATTTCAGTTTTACCAAAAAAAAACCCTTTGAAACAAAAAGGTATACCACAATGAACATAAAACAAACTGCTATGTTTAACACATGTGTATTCAAGTGAGAACTTGAGATAGAGATAGATATTATGGGGGGGAAATCTGCCAAAAGACTTTTGTAGAGCTAGTATGAAAAAATCACGTTTCCCCTTTGCCTCAAAAGCTCTCTCCCCCCCTTAAACATTGCACTTAGCATCCCATTTGCTGCTAGGTATCCTTACACACTTCGCATCCAAGAAGAGAAAATATAACAAAATAGCATACCTCCCCCTTAGGATATCTATATCTGTATTTGTCCTGGTCTCTCAAAGCAAATTCTAATGGATAATGTTCCTGAATTTCTTCATATGTCATTTCTTCACAGACTCCCTAGGGAAACAACGAAAACATGAGAAGTAGTGTAGGTTTATGGTTAAAAGACTGGGCTGTTTATAGAGGTTGCTCATCTGACATAAAACACTCTCAACATCAGACACCCACCTACTGTACTATATGGGAATAAAAGTATTGACTTATGTTACATAGGTTGTAGAAAGCACTACAAGTAAGTGGTCTGGATTTTCAAAAAGAACTATGGAAGTATTTTTATTACTATTACAACTACTACCAATTCCATAAGGGCACTGGAGTTTACAACGTAATATACATTTAAACAGTGCTTGTGACATCCCCCCCCCGAAGGTGCACATTGTATAACACACGTTTATGGTGTTGCAAAAATCCTGGGTTTTACTGCTACTTCACTGCCATGCTGTCTTAAGCGTCTTGCTACCTGAAGCAAGTGCTTGGGTTACTTGTACAATCTATACAGTCCTGCCAGCTATCCTTGCAGCAAAAGCTGCAAGAAGAGAAGACACACTATTTTCATCTCCCTTTCCTTCTTTTTTTGCTGGAGATAATACAGATAATCACACACTCTGCACACTTTCCTCACCGCACACTCCCAATGCGTTTTGAATTGCAGGATGAGGAGCATGGTGTTCTTCATTTAGAACTTTGAGGGTGTGAGCCGATCAATGATTTCACTTAAAAATACCCTGAAGTAAGTTGAGTGATGCTTCAATGAGAAATACAATGCAGATCTAATTGAACTAATAAAGCTCAGTACCAAAGTGAGATACAGTGGTACCTCTGGTTACGAACTGAATCCGTTCATAACCAGAAACTGTTCTTATCCTGAGGCACGCTTTCAGTAATGGCGTCTCCTGGCGCACGATTTCTGCTCACATCCTGGGGCAAAGGTCGCAACCAGGAGCAGCTACTTCCGGGTTAGCGTTGCTCGTAACCCGGAACGTGTGCAACCAGAAGCGTTCACAACCAGAGGTACCACTGTAAAGGCTTGAAGGACTTCTCAAGGATGGTGGACTAACATGAATCTAATCATTATTACTTTCTAATCCTAATAATGATGACAAATACAACACTGTTTTATAATGCATATACATAGCTAGGTGCCATTCAACCTATAAATTATGAAAACTAGTCCCTGCTGACTTGCAATCTAACCGGAACACACACAGGAGAACTCCTACTAATGCATCATAAAGTAAGTCTCTTTCCATCATACAAATTCAAAACCGTTTCAGATGTGACCATGAGATGATCTTACCGCATCTATTTCATTCAGAACTTTCCACTGTTCGTAAGGCACTCCCAAAGCCTCTGCAGTCTGAATGGTCCTTTTCATCTGGCTCGTCCATACTTTCAGATCTTTGCTGTTTTGCTCATTAATGAACTGTGCCAAACTCTTGGCAAACTGTAAAAGCACGTCAAATAATAATGTCATGAGGAAATTGCAGCTGAAGCACTCCAGTCGAGTTAGATGCCAATAGGACCTAATTCTCTAACCGTGAGGTAATGGTGTCTTTCAAAAAGCTCCGTGTATGCCTTCAACAAAACAAAGTCTGTTGGCCTGTGAAATGAGGGCCACAACAGATATTCAACTTTTCTATGCTATTCTTTAGCTTGGATCCAATTGAGCACTTCTCCAACTACAATACACTTCCCACTTGTGCAAAAGGAGTGGGACATTCCCTAATCTATACCAGTCTTCCCTTCTCACTGCGCCCCCCCCCCCCGTCCCCTGCACTTCTATGTCACATTGGACACCATTCTTGAGGGTCTTCTGACTTTGAGTAGTGGTTTTTCACAGGATACAGGGGGCTACAGAAGGATGGAGGCAGCCAGGGGGAATCCTGCTCACAAAACAAGTTTAACCAGTTAAAATTAAATTTTAAAATACAGTCTGGGGTCAGCCCTCCCAAACCTGGTGTCTTCCTCCAGGAGCTTTGGGTTACAATTCCCATCAGCCTCAGCCATCATGATTGTCCTGGCTGGAGCTGATGGAAATAATAGTCCTAAAGAGGCACCTGTAGGGAAAAGCTGGTCTAGATATAAATTGGTTGACGGTACAAAAGGAAAAAGAATCCCTACATTAGAGATTACAATCCCTACCTTTTTCCCTCTATGAGACAGCCCGGTGTCTCCTCCTATTCTTCCCTTTAGATTGAGTTCACTTTCACCATGCCGACAGAGGTAGATGGAGCGAGGAGTTACGTGGATATTCATGAGGTAGTAAACAATCCGACTCTGAATGTGGTCCATTACTCGGTTCACGAGGTAACTCCGTCCAACATCCATTATTTTAATATAAGAAAGATCCCTATTCACGGTAAGAGACAAAACTATATGTGAAAACTACAATATTCAAACCAGTGCTTCATTTATCTCCTCCAAAGGCACCAGATCACAAATAAGGGGTTGTTTTTACCATGTGCTAGAATATGATGGAAACAACTTCCCCAGAACAACTAGCAAGGGGAAGTTGGGTAGTGCACAATTATACCCTAACATAATTTCTCTTGGGACTACGACCAAGTAGATGGCTTTTACATATGGGAAGAACTATCCAATCCCGATAACTTGCCATTAGTTAAGGCAAGCAGGACCAGCAGCAACATATGGTGTCCCTGGTTATAGTGGTGGAGGTAGTCAGGCAGCCATGCCCTTTTGCAGGAGATACCAGCGGGTATAGGCGGTATAGAAATGTAATTAATAATAATAAATAATAATTCCCCATCCTTCAACAGTCAGTCAGCATTCTGTGCCCATTTAGCATCCCCAATTCTCATTGAAAGTGTGTGTGTGTGTGTGTGTGTGTGTGTGGAAATTTTACTTCTATTAGGGCATAGATTGCCCACCAAGCAGCCACAGGCACCATGGCAAATGTGAAGGCATTCACTGGTACCCAAAACTCTCTCGAGTTTTCATTCATTCATTCATTCTTTTATTTTTTTAAAGGTTCTAACCCACCTATTGGGCAACTGTGCAAGAAACTTCTAAGCAATTTCGGTGAAATGATAGTAAGTGTGGTATGGGCACTTTGTATATTTTTCCTGATACTGAGGAATGCTTCCTGTTGCCGCTAGACAGCAATAGGGGTGTGGGTGTGGGTGTGTAAAATCATTATTATTGTGTGATCTCCACAATCTGGACCAACAGGACATAGGTGACTTTCCATGGTAAGCATAAGGTTGTTAGAAGGTGGCTGTCTCTCTAATTTTTTGTTCCAGTGAGGGGATAAACCTGTGTCTTGGCAGCACTTTAAGACTGCAGAACTGGGCTCCTATAACTGAGTGCCTCCCCATGGAAAAATATATCCCTACATGTAGAAAACTAAAATGTCAAGAAGAAAGCTGGACTAGATTATTTTCCCCTCCTAGTATTCCAAGTACAACTAATGATTTTTTTAGGCATGGATGAGAATTCAAATCGAGTGAGCCCCACCTGCAATCTGAAGCGGAAAATCTCAAATAGGCATAGATTTAATCACACCAGTGAGAATTAAGCTACACATAGGCAGAATTAAGATTCTGAAGGTAAACAAAGCATCACGGAGACTTGTGGCGACTTACTTGTCTAGATTTTCATCTAGCGTCTCGTATGAATTCTTGTAACACTCAATTCTTTTCATGAAGTCTTCTGCAGCTTCATCGCTACCACAGTCAACATAATCAGGACTTCCCAGCTTCACTTGCTGATTGAGAAAGAAAGTATGGGGTCTTTTTTATTTAAAAAAATTACTCTTGCTTATTTAATGAAATTTGTATACTGCTTATCTATTAAAAAAACCTCTTCTAAGCAGTTTACATAAAATTAAAGCATCAATAAAAGTCAGTGTTATCGAATTCTTTTTACAAAACATAAATAAAATCAGCAGTTAACAATATACAATAAAATTTAAGGGTTTTCAGTTTAGAAAAAGAGAAGTCAGGAGTGACATGATAGAAGTGTACAAAGTGTATGGATATAGTGTGGAGGAAGTGAATAAACAAAAGTTCTTCTCCCTCTCTCATAACACCAGAAGGCTGCAACATCCAATGTTACTGATGTCAGAAGACTCAGGAGAGACAAAAGGAAGTATTTCTTCACACAGAAGATAGTTAAACTATGGAATCTGTTCCTACAAGAGGCAGTGCTGGTCGTCATCCTTAAGAGAGGATTAGACAAATTCATAGAGGCAATCATGGCTACAAACACTGGCCGCCATGTTTGACTTCCACTGTCAAGAGGCAGTATGCTTCTGAATACCAGTTTATGGACACCACAGGTGTGGAGAATCCTAATGAGCTTAGGTCCTGCTTGCAGGCTTCCTGCAGGCATTTGCTTGGACCACAGTGATAACCGAATGCTAGACTAGATAGCCCACTGGCCTGATCAAGCAGGCTGCTCTTCTGCAGAACAGACCAACTTCAATCCTTGGCATCACCTGGTAGGACAGGGAAAGACTTTTGTTGGAAACCCTGGGGACAGGCTGCCTGTCAGTGTGGATAATACTTAGCTGGATGGACCAGTGCTCCGATACGGTCTAATAGAAGCTAAGATAACAAATTTGCACAACAGCAAACATCACGTGTAACCTGTATTGCAAGGAAAAAATGGTTGCCTGCTTGTAAGTTAGGTTTTTTTCAAATAAAACATATATTGAAACTTCCTTTTAAAAAAAAGATAATGATTGTGAAGAAACTGGAGTGGACATTGCAAGAGCTTTTGTTCAAAGCAATTCTGACAAAGCCTTGCATCTAACGATGTGCAAGATTTGCCATGAAGCAGAATGCAGGAAGCATTGTGGGCCAAATGCCTTCAATTGCAATCTTCAACAGATTGTGTGCAATCCATAAATCCAAAGGATTGTATAAAAGTAGGTAAAATGGAGAAGGGTAAAAGGAAGCAACTGTACCATGTGACTGATTTTGGAAATTATATTAAGACATAAAACCTTTTCCTTCTTTTAAAGCAGAAGTTGATACTCACCACAATATTTGCAGCAATGACTTCTGGATCAACACATACTGACTCCACGAAGAAAGTCTTTGAGACAAACAGGAACAAACAATTATGGAAGTGACAAAAGAGGGAAAGGGTTAGAACAGATCCAGTGACCAATACTGCAAATGCAGGCTTGTGTAGTCAGCAGCATATTTAGTCTTACAAACTATGTTTTGCCTTTAAATACGCCTTCTGCTGAACATCCCATCAGAGATCAAACTTTATGCATTTCCCCTGCTACTTTTGGGCACCTCCAAACAGCATAGTGTTAATGAAGCAGTTGCAAATTAAGAGGGCAAGTCATTGAAAGGGAGTCAGGCGGCACACTGGCTTAGAGCCTACGGCACAGTAGCGAAGCCTTACTGTAGCCTGACATAACCTCTGATCAAAAAGTACAGCTTCTTTCCAAAATTGCAACACAAAGTAGAAGCCTGGGGTGTTGACACACCATACTACTTCTCTGTCAGTGAAGTCTGCAGGAAGAAGCAGCACTGTTGATTTGCCAGCAGCAAAGACAAAACAGACACAGAAAGTAGAATAAGAGGTGTATAAAAAGGCCATTCCTACCAGGAAATAAAAGTATTAATGCAGAATACTTATCTGCAGTATTACAAACTGTTAACAAACATAGATGCTTTTGAGTTGATCTCTATGCAAGGTGTCTTTGGGAGGATGAACAAAGAATACACCCCCCCAGTAGTGGTATGTGGGGTGAGGCAGAGTCACAGAGATGCCCTTTGGAATACTGGCATCATTGTTGCTTCACTGGACAAAGCAGAAGCACCAGTGGAAGCACCACGGGTGGAGTGGGTGGGTGTCGCACAGCCCCAACCCCATTACCACCTCCATCCAGCTCTGTCAAGGGAAGGAAGAGGTGCCTGTGTTGGGAAGGCAGCCCTGCAGTTTCATCCCGCCACCTGTATTGCAACTGTGTGCTCCCCCATAAAGCAATCCACCCACAGAGAAGCTGTATTGACAAGGGAGTTAAATGCTAATAAGACAACTATTATATGCTAAGGAGAAAGACAGTTTATTCCAGCCCACTGTCTGAAATCCTAGAACAGGGTCTCAGAATCCTGTCTCCCAGTCAATGGCAGTAACCATTAGCACAGTAGGACCCATTATCAGCAAACAGGACTACTGATTAACTACACATTAGGAGCTGCAATTAGTATGGTTTAATGGAGGCGATACTTATTCCACAAAACTGCTACTGGAAAATATCACATGAAGTTCCAGTCAATGCCATCGTGTATTGAGAACAAAGCATCAGTCCGCACTCTCCTATACGAGCCATTTCAAACATCTTGGCTCTTAACTCACCTTATACCCATTTTCCTCCCCAAACTTATAGATGGTTTCTCTGCGTTCCCTTGTTGTGTTTGTGGCATCAAAAACCTAAAGGGAAAATAAATGCTATATTAGAAAATAGACAGGTACAACCCGGAAGGAGTAGATCTCATGTAACAGCAACCAAAGAGAACAGATTTGTCACAAACTACTCTTTCCCCACCAAACTTTTTACATGTACCTGTAAAAATGAAATACAGGCACTTAGCAAATTCAGGTTACTGGCTCTGTGAAGCATACATGTTTAAACACAGAGGTACAAAGTTTATTCTTGGTTCACTTCATGGAACAAGGATAGGAGGCAGTCCAAATAGCCCAATGCAAACCCCCAAATTTGGTATCCCTTCCCCAAAAAAATTCATGCTCGCTTTTTGTTGTTTTGTGCAATAAACTCAACAGTTTTGTACCACTAACCACAAGTATATACTGAGACATCAAATCAGGTTTATCATTTAGTCTTCACAGTTCAGGTCATTTGCCAGGAGATCACAAATGTTGGACTAGACAATTAAGAACTTCCAGTGGGTTTGACTAAGATTTGATTCATAGCATTTGAGAGCTGGATTTAAAGCTTTTGAAAACTGCTATTATGTAAGTGGACTGGAACCAATCATTTCTGAACAATGAACAATGGTAAGTATGAAATATGTGGGGAATTCTTCTTCTTTCCTGGTATGCTATGCCTTCCCACACATTTCATCCTTGTCCTTGTGTAACACCACAACATGCTTTCAAGAAGCTTTTTCAACAAAACCATGCAAACAAACATTACAGGCTAGAAAACTGAGGGGCAATTTTAAAGATTAAAATAAGGAAACCAGTAAGTAGCAAAAGGCACAAGTTCATCAACAGGAAGGGGGGGAAATCAACTGCATGAATGAGGGTCAAGGATGGCTACTGGGTTATCATTTCTTTCTGTTCTTAGAAAAATCATGCAAGGTATATGTCAACATCACAAACTCTATGCAGCACAAACTGTACACTACACGTCTCCCTGGAATTCAAAAAGCAAGAAGAGGAGAAAAATGGAAACACTGCAAATTCTGTTGAACATTTACTGCACCAGAAACTTAACATCATATTTCAAACAGGAGAGATACTTCCTAAAGCAGAATTTATGAGAAGAGGTTCATGGTTCTAACTTGGTCTCCCCCCCCCCCCACCTTTCCATTATAATTCATAAACATGTCATCCTAATCTCCATCTAGTATGGAATCAATAATTAAACCCCCACTGGTCTGAACAATATTGCAATATTAATTTTGCATTTAGAACATCGGTGTCAGTAACTAATGTCAGAAAATGCAGCTGGTTAATGGTTTGGGGTGTTGTTGTTTTTTGCAAAGGGGTGAGAGAAACACTTACTGCCACATGCCCATTTTCTTCACAAAGGTATCGCCGAACATCATTCAGTGCTGCTAAAGCACACTGTCTTAAAAAGAAGAGATAATATAACAATTATATTCTCGAAAAAATTGCATCATTAAATGTACATGGCACTTACTTTGTCTACAGCATGCTTAAAAGCAAAATACAAAATTTCGGAATCAATTAACCTATTTTACATCCAAGACACACACTTTAAAAATGTAGAAACAAGTTAAACATTTTCTTTCAGACCATAAAGCTAGTATAGTAGTACTAAGATTATAATCTGTATGAGGAATGCAATCCTGAGGGCTGGTCAATAATTTGAGCCATTATAGGGTCCCTTTCCTTGAATTGATAAGAGCTGGTAGCAGCTGCCTCAAATGCTGAAAACACAAAACATTCCTGCAGATCAAAGCAACACTGTGAAGCAAAAGGAAAAAGACACATTACAAACTTACTTTCGGATTTTCAGGCCTTCTTCATTGTCTGGCAGGAAGAACTCAAAAGACTTGTATGTTTTTACCAAGTCTCGCCGATACTGACCAACATTAAATTCTGCATGGGGAAAAAAATCAAGAAACTTGGCTTTAACAACATCTGCTTTCTCCTATGATGTATAGATGAGCCAGCATAGCATAGAATAGCATCAATCCTGCTCCTACGAATCAGGAGCCCTACCCCCGCCCTGGTTTCAATCTCACCTGTGCCATGTACTCAACAGGTGGCTACAACCTCTCTGCTTCAAATCATGTGCAATATAGGAAGGCAATAATACAGATTGACCTTACAGGGTTTTGTAAGGAGTGCAACTAGATAATGCATGTTGATTCTTGCTTCCCATTGTATTAGGTTGCAGCCCTGTGTGCATACCTAGGAGCAAGCCCTGTGAGAACAGCCTCATGTTGCGAGTCTCATAGGCTAACACCTGTAGGCTGCACGATTCACAACCCTCAGGATTCCCACTGTATGAAAGGCTTCGCGTGTAGACCAATGCGTTGACACAAGGTCTTGGTAGTTTAGTTGAAGCCTGGCTGCCTTTACTCAGAATGAGTTTGCAGAAGAAAACAGTAAATAACGTTCTGTTTTTCTAAACCAACTTATATTCTGGTATGGATAATATTGTGACTTGGGAGTGTATGAATCAGCCTTCAGGTAAGGTAACCTTTGGATCCACAAAGTAATAAAATACATAACACTTGCTGACCTGTAGCAAACGTTAACAATTCCCAGCAACCTCAGTAACTTTCTAGATTCTTGTCAATATAATGTTCATCTAAGAACAAAACAGCAACAGCTCAACTTTAGACGGTAATACATAAACCGCCAGGCTGATTTTAAACAACACAGCCATATGACAAGCCGTACTAATGAGAGGGAAGTTCCCCCTTCCCTCAGTGGTCATCATAAGACTGGGCTGAATGACAAGTTCAAAATGTAAGGAAAATAAAAACAGAACAGATGAAACTGTTTGTTAATGAAACTCATTTGGGTTTTATGCTTTTGCATGGGTGCCCTTGGGTTATGAAAGTAACTCATTCCTTTCCCTTCTCAAACTAGCATGTTGATTATCACGCTATGCCCTCTGCAAGTGGTCCAATCAGAAGATTCCTCAGATCTTCCCAGCACCAATCAACTGGACAATTGGGAAGGGGGAAGAAAGAACTTGGTGGGATTTCAGGGATTCATCACATCCCTCCCACTGCCCAGCTTTTTAGTGCTGGAAACTTCTGAAGAGCACACCAATCGCTGCACTCCTCAGCTGCTCCCAATGTCAACCAGCTCAATGTGGGGGGGGGGAGGAGAAAATCAGCTGGGGGCCACAGGGGAATTAGTCAAGAGATGAACATGGTTTGCCCAGGTGTGTCCCAAAGTGTCGTGCACCCAGAAAGAACTATAAAAGATAATCATAATATTAAAGTTAACAAAATAATTTTAAGCAACCTATTCCCAACAAAATCTGTACCATACGAAGAAAAAAGCAATCACCTTTTGTGGGTACTCCAATCCAGTTTAAGTAGCGTGTCAATTTCTTTGAGATGTAGGTCTTCCCTCTTGCTGGGAGCCCAACCATAACAATCAGCGTAGGGCAGTTGGTCATACATACTGAAAATAAAGATATATACTTGGTAATCATGCCAAGTAAAAGTTCAGGTTACAATTAAGTCCATTTAGGAAACAGCTGTGGTTTTTTGGACAGGATATGAACATGCTGTCGTTCCCACTGTGGTTTTTGTTGTTGTTTTTTGGTTGACGCAACTCTTGATGTTTTCCCAGCAAAAAAAGCCTGCCTAACTGGATGAACTGTACAAAGCTACATTTTACTTTTATCAGAAGAGATGCTTAGAAATCTAACACATTCCTAATCCTTGCTATCAGTTCTACATGTTTATTCTTAAATTTCTGTAAAGCCAAAGGTTTCCCCTTGAGTCATCTTTTCAGTTTTTCTCAATCCTATAAAAGCAGGGTAGAAAACAGGCAGCAGCACTGATAAATGGATTTAATCCACTTAAAAACTTTTGATTGCAACCAATACACTTATTATTCTTTCAGGAGTCCCTAGCCTGTGCTAATTGGCCTAAGTGAACATATATCTCTCTTCCTGACGTAAACAGTATTTTTCAGCATTCAAAATAATCACAGAGTGTTCCAAATACAGCAAAAAGGTCAAACACACTGTTATGGCTAACTTGAAAAGAGGGTTACTGGGAAACAACCACCAGCTGAAATTCTAAAGCAAACTTCAGCATCTCTGATTACATTAACAAGCCCTTTGCTAAGGGCAAATTCAGTGCAAGCAATCTAACTTTAGAACTTCTGAACGGAATTCAAAATTACAAAACGAACAATGTGCAACGCTATATCCATGTGTCAACCACTCGCTTAGGAAAGTGCCTGAAATGTTGTGCAACAGTCTTTTCAAATAATTTTAGTATGTGACAACAGAAGCATGTGTTGAGAAATAAAACCAAGAAGAAACAAAGTGCAATCATGTGAAAGACACATCGTGTCCCTAAACAGGTTAAGAAGCACTGGTTTATCAGTCCCATTTTAGTCTCCCTCACTAAGTACTTTTGTTGACTGAGTGCAAGGAAAAACACAGAAGAAAGCACACTACTTTATACTGTAAGAGGTCCTGGAAGGAGCTGTTCAACAGTACAGTGGTACCTCGGGTTACAAACGCTTCAGGTTACAGACTCCGCTAACCCAGAAATAGTATCTTGGGTTAAGAACTTTGCTTCAGGATGAGAACAGAAATTGTGTGGCGGCAGCGGGAGGCCCCATTAGCTAAAATGGTACCTCAGGTTAAGAACAGTTTCAGATTAAGAACGGACCTCCGGAATGAATTAAGTTCTTAACCCAAGGTACCACTGTAGTCAGAAATTGCTGGGTAGCCTCCCTCGGGCTCCACAAAGGTGAGCTAGTAGAAGCGGGAGCAGCATGTTTTCGAAGACTCTTTTGATATTACTCAAGTGCCATCACCTCCGCAGCTCTGTTGTTGTTGTTGTTTAGTCGTTTAGTCGTGTCCGACTCTTCGTGACCCCATGGACCAGAGCACGCCAGGCACTCCTGTCTTCTACTGCCTCCCGCAGTTTGGTCAGGCTCATGTTTGTAGCTTCAAGAACACTGTCCAACCATCTCGTCCTCTGTCGTCCCCTTCTCCTTGTGCCCTCCATCTTTCCCAACATCAGGGTCTTTTCCAGGGAGTCTTCTCTTCTCATGAGGTGGCCGAAGTATTGGAGCCTCAGCTTCAGGATCTGTCCTTCCAGTGAGCACTCAGGGCTGATTTCCTTAAGAATGGATACATTTGATCTTCTTGCAGTCCATGGGACTCTCAAGAGTCTCCTCCAGCACCTCCGCAGCTCTACTTACTTACAAAGAATGATGGCCGCACGACAATAGGCAGTTACCTATGCTTAAAATGTCCTTCAGACCAAGTTCAGCATTGCAGTCAATGCTAGGGTTGCCTTACGTCTGGAATTTCCAGGACATACCCAGAGTACTGCAGTCGGAAGAAATGTCCAGGCAGAAACTAGCTGGGAAAATCCAGACGTATGACAACCTGTGTCGGCAGTTTTCATTAAAAACAGCTTTCCTTAAAAAACCTGTATGTTTGCCAAAAAAAAAAAATCCAACCACTTTTGTGTCTAGATTTTCACTTTTTGAAATATGGCAACCCTAGTCAACTGAGCACAGTAAGAAATTCTATGAAAAGTATATGCGATTTTGTTGATAAATAAGGAAAAAAGCTAGGATTAATTCTCACCAAGGGAAAGGGGGAGGAAAATATACAAAATGAGACTATTTGGGGTTCAAGCTCGAACAGCGCAAATATAGCATATGCTCTCTCTTTCATTAGCTAGAAAATGGGGGGAAATGAAGTTGCCAATGTTTGTAGCAAACAATACATAATTTTCTACCTTTGTTATCCATTCTGAGAGATAAGGAATTTGGCCTAATTCTGATTTAAGATCCATCAATGAAAACATCAGACACACCAGGACTTAGCTGCCTGAAGAAAACTCCATGCTAGAAAGTTGTACAAACTATTCTCAATAAAAAAGCCACTACGTACTGCAACTATTCTTCATATCAGAGGTGGGTGAACTGGGTCTGGCTATCACTTCCCCCCACCTCTCACGACAGAGCCACCCACCAGCCAATCCTCTGACATAACCTGACTGTCTGGCCTTGAGAAGCCCCTTTCAAGATACTATTATTACCCACAATGGTTTGCAAGAGGTTAAGCAAGACCTGACAACCAGGTGATCAGTGATGCCTGCAAACTCCCGTTTGGCTAAGTGGCTGATACAGAAGCAAGAATATGATGAACTGAGAAACAGAATGCATTCAGTGCAATGTGCGGGCGGGTGGGGGTGCTTTGAGCAACCAGAAATCAACTAAGGATTACACAAGGCACATATGACTGGGGAAAAGGCAATAGGAGCTTATCACAAAATGAAATGGGAATAAAAATATTGGATTAACTAGGTGACGTCTAGGTGTGAAACCATGGTTACAGAAGCCTGCATGTTCAAAGCTGCCAGACTGTAACCACTGAGTATCGAAAGCAGGCACAAGACTTTCACTAGGACCATGTCTTTTATTCCAAGGGGGGAGGAACTCTGCACTTAAGAGCAGGGTTTGAAATTAACAGGGAACATTTTACACCCAAAGATTCTCCATTTGAAAGCACCTCAAAAAGTCTGGGTGCCATTTTTTTTTTTTTGCGCCTTGCTGACGCTCAAGTACAGTGGTACCTCGGGTTAAGTACTTAATTCGTTCCGGAGGTCCATACTTAACCTGAAACTGTTCTTAACCTGAAGCACCACTTTAGCTAATGGGGCCTCCTGCTGCTGCCAATTTCTGTTCTCTTTTTTTTTTTTAAATAAGTTTTTATTAATTTTCCATAAGTAAAAGAGAAAACAAAATAGAAACATAGGTAAACACAAAAACGACTTCCCCATACCGCCCCTTTTCTGCATTCATGTTTCAAGATTTTCCAGCAACCCTTTCGTATTAAACTTATTTCTATTTCATAAATTTATCTTCCATAAAATAATAAAACAACTGTAGTTCTTTATCTCTTATTACCCTGGTCCTCTAATTTTCCAAATTACAACAGTTTTTAAGATAAACTTTAAATTTGTTCCAGTCTTCATCCACCGCCTCTTTCCCCCGGTCTCGGATTCTGCCAGTCATCTCTGCCAGTCCCATATAATCAATCACCTTCGTCTGCCATTCTTCCAACGTGGGTAGATCTTGTGTCTTCCAATACTTTGCTAGAAGAATTCTTGCTGCTGTTGTAGCATACATAAAAAATGTCCTCTCCTTCTTTGGCACCATTTGGCCCACCATACCCAGGAGAAAGGCTTCTGGCTTTTTATTAAAGGTTCTCTTCAGAACTTTTTTAATTTCATTATAGATCATTTCCCAGAAAGCCTTAATCCTCGGGCAGGTCCACCAAAGGTGATAGAAGGTTCCCTCCGTTTCGTTACACTTCCAACACTTGTTATTGGGCAGATGATAGATCTTTGCTAACTTAGCCGGAGTCATGTACCACCTGTAGATCATTTTCATAATGTTTTCTCTTAAGGCATTACATGCCATAAATTTAACACCAGTGGTCCATAACTGCTCCCAGTCAGCAAGCTCAATGTCATGCCCTATATCCTGTGCCCATTTAATCATGCTAGATTTCACCATTTCATCTTGAGTATTCCATTTCAACAGCAAGTTGTACATTCTTGACAAGTTTTTAGTATTGGGTTCTAACAGTTCTGTTTCTAGTTTTGACTTCTCCACTTGGAAGCCTTTCTTTCTGTCCTGTTTAAATACTTCATTTATCTGTTGATAATGTAGCCAATCTCTCACCTTAAACTTCAGATTCTCGAAACTCTGCAATTTTACTTTTTCACCATCTTGTTCTATCATTTCAAAATATTTAGGCCAATTAGAGCCCATATTCAATTTTTTCACCTCATTTGCCTCCATTGGTGACAGCCACCTAGGGGTTCTGCTTTCAAGCAAATCTTTATACCTTATCCAGACATTATACAGAGCTTTCCTCACCATATGGTTCTTAAAGCCTTTGTGCACTTTTACCTTGTCATACCATATATATGCATGCCAACCAAATCTGTTATCAAACCCTTCAAGATCCAAAATGTCTGTATTCTCGAGGAGCAGCCAGTCTTTCAGCCAGCAAAACGCTGCTGATTCATAGTAAAGTCTTAAGTCCGGCAGGGCAAATTTCTGTTCTCATCCTGAAGCAAAGTTCTTAACCTGAAGCACTATTTCTGGGTTAGCGCAGTCTGTAACCTGAAGCGTATGTAACCCGAGGTACCACTGTATTACTGAAATGTATGTGCTTTGAAGCCTCAAAGTATATGTTAAGGATAGACACAATATGTTAAAGAATTTAACAATAAAGAGTAGAGTGCTTTGAAAACTAAAGTATGGTACCAATATTTTTATTGTAAACACCCAATCAAACATGTATTAAAAATTTCTGCTAAAAATGTGATATTAACAATGTGTCACCTATGTAAATTGCGTATTAATCCATGCTTATCAAAATAATAAATAAAAAAGTGTTGCCGACT